ATAATAAAAAGTGTACATTTAAGTGCACCACCTTGCGGTACTCCCATTTCTTGGGCAAATGTTTAGGAGAGAATACTGCCCACATGGAAACGGAATGTCCGATTGGACAAGAAACTCGATTATGGAAAGCATTCTACCGCGCACACCCAGGTGAAACAAGTCTACTTATAAGCCAAAACGCCATGTTGTGTCATATACCTTCTTGATATCGAGAAACACAGAGAGGAATTATTGTTTGTGGGCGTAGGCGTCTCGGATCTTTGCCTCGATACGCACCAGAGGGCCGATGGTGTATCTACCCTCTCGAAACCTGCACTAGAATCTGTCGAACAGATTCTGTGTTTCCAGGAAATGTAAAAGTCGGCGGTTTTAATTATTTTCAAAAAGTTTACAAAGGCAGCTTGTAAGTGCAATAAGCCTATAACTCGAAACTGAGCAAGGGTCCTTGCCCTGTTTTGAAATAGGAATAATAATAGCCTCTTCCCAGGAAGCAGGGATGGTGCCAGAAAGTCAGCTCGCATTGTATTGGGAGAGTAAAGTTATTCGCGTTTTGAGTGGCCGGTTTTTCAACATTTCATACGTGACACGGTCGTAGCCTGGTGCAGAAATACTGCAGGAGTTTAGTGATGTTTGTAGCTCAGTTAAGTTGAAAGGTTGGTTATATGCCTCGTAATTTGTGCACTTGTATTCTAGTTTCTGCTTTTCTATCCTTGTTTTGTATCTTTGGAAAGGTTCAATGTAGCGTGACGAGCTAGACACCTGCTCGTAGTGTGCACCGAGGAAGTTCGTCTGATCTTCCAGGCTGTCACCCTGTGTGTTTACGAGTGGAGTGTGTGTACTTGTCTTCCTGCTACTCTACCAACCGTGTTCCAGACTTTAGCCTCTTGTGTATATGAACTTATCCCTGATAGCAACTTGTGCCAGCTTTCTCTTCTGGTCTGCCGACGCACTCTCCTGCCTTGACACTTTATTTTCTTAAAGCTGTCAAGATTTTCGGCTGTCGGTCAATTCCGAAGCAACCTCCATGCCCTGTTCTTCTTCTTTTGGGCATTCCGACACTCAGTGTTCCACCATGGGACACATCACTTGCCTGGCATACCAGGTGTTTGCGGTATGCACTTGGCTGCTGCATCAGTAAGAAAAGCTGTCAAGTACTGCACAGCTTCATTTGTGTTTAACCTACATATGTCAGTCCAACTTAAACGAGTAGTGTTGTGAAACTGTTCCCAGTCCGCTTTGTCTGTCCGGCATCTGGGAACATGTGGAAGACCTTTTTCTAGTGGTGCACTTAGAATAATCGGAAAGTGATCACTTCCGAAAGGATTGTTGATCACGTTCCATTGAAGTAGAGGTACAAGCGATGGGGACACAATGCTGAGATCTATGCATGAGTAGGTTTTGTTGGCGAGGTTAAAGTGTGTTGGCTCTTTCATATTCAACTGACTCGCACCCGAAGAAAAGAGAAACTGTTCGATTAGGCAACCTCGTGCGTCGCAGCGAGAGTCACCCCATAGACCATTATGTGCATTCAAGTTCCCAAGGACCCCATAAGGTTCCGGTAGTTGATGTATCAGTGACTGGAACTCGTCTTTTCAAGACGGTACTGCGGAGGTATGTAAAGAGAGCAGATGGTGACAAGTTTGTTCAAAAGAACTGCCCGAACAGCCACTGTCTCAAGAGATGTTTGTAGCGGTAGATGTGTACATGCTACGCCCTGATCAACTATAATGGCCACACCACCAGATGACGCTATAGCGTCATCAGTCCTTTGTGAACATTACATAACGACGTAGAAAGTTGGTGTTTCTGTAACTTAAGTGTGTCTCTTGAAACACAGTACTTTTGGGGAGTGTTCGTGTAAGAGTTACTGGATATCGTCGAGGTTTCTAACCAATCCTCTGATGTTTTATTGTATTATTTGTGTATTCATTATGGGTGTAAAAGAGTGCTGTGTGCATTAAAAAAGGATTGCGTCAAGTTAAGAAGCCTTTTCAGGCCTTGATGATGGTTTTTGATTTTCTGGCGCGCTCCAATGAGCCGCGCTTGTCCATCGACACCGATGACACCGTTGGACTTGTTGTTGTGTCCATCACCTCGGACGAGGTGCTGGATGCCCGCTCGTGGTTCACGCTTGCAGGCACGGAGAACTTAGGGCTCTCTGTTGAGACAGAAGGTCCTTGGGCTTCAGGTCGGGAGGCCTGCGAGCCTTTTGGTGGCGGAAGAGCCTGTGCTACTTCTGCTGAGGGGGTGAATGGCGCTGCCGCTTGTACACTTTGTGTGGTACGTGCGGTCGCCGCGGATTTCGGTGGCACTGCCCTCTTTCGTGCCACCTCCGCAAATGAAGGACCTTGCATTAGTAGACGCTTGCGTGCCTCCCTAAACGAGACGTTTTCATTTACTTTCAGGGTGAGTACTTCTTTTTAATGTTTCCATGTAGGGCATGTGCGAGAGTAAGCGGGGTGTCCACCATCGCAGTTCGCGCAGTGGGTAGTGGCATTTTCACATTTGTCTGCAGCGTTTCCTGCGAACTACACTTTGCATAGGTTTGACGGCCGCGGCAGCTCTGAGAACCGTGGCCGAATAGCTGACAGTTAAAACAACGTCGGGGGTTGGGGATCTAAGGTCGAACCTTTAACTTCAAGTAGCCTGTTTCAATTTATTGTGGAAGTGTGCTTGTGCAAAATGTAAGATTGAGGTGCTTTGCGGGGTTTTGTATTATCACGCCTAATTTTAATTCTCTGTACATGCCTTACATGCTGTTCGTTTCAGCCCTCACGGAGCTCACTCTCTGTTAGGTTAATTATGTCTTGAGCAGACAATACGCTTCAGGAACTGTTCAGAGAGCGGTGTGGTGTGATAGATACTGGCGTTGTTCTTAAAAAGGTGAGTTTTGTCAGGTTTTCATACTGGGTCTTAGTTTGGGCTTCAAGAAGAAGGTCCCCACTAGCCATACGTGTAGCCTGATATCCTGGACCAAGGGTATTGGTTAGGCATTTGGAAACGACAAACGGAAAAATGGTTTCTTGCGTTCTTTTCTTGCATTTCACAGTGGATCACATGGAAGCGTGGGAAAATTCCTTTCGGCTTTATAAATATATCCAGTGTTGCTTCGGTGCGCCCCCTCTTAGGAGGAGGGCTATCACACAGTTTAGGAAATGAAAAATACATCATAAAGTATATATAAACTCGGCTGCCTTGCCAGCCGTCCACCATCGAGACCAACATGGGGACACGGCAGCACAGTTATAAGAGCATGCCAGCGCCAGCTGTACGAAGCAACTATAACCCAATAGTATGTGACCAAGAGAAGGCACATACACAAGCTTAACCCTTGCCACCTGGAAGATGGAAGTAAACAGAAGTGAGGAGAGGACAGGATATATTGGAAGAAAGAAAAGACGAAGATCAGGAGGGAGAGAGAGAGACAGGAAAAGGCGACTGCCGATTTCCCCTGGGTGAGTCAGCCCAGGGGTGCCGTCTACGTGAAGCTGGGGCCAAAGGGGTGTGATGCCTCTGCCGGCGGGCCTTAAAAGTCCAATCACCCAGCGTCGGCTCAGCCCCCAGGATCCCCTTTTCCCCGGACACGGCAAATCCACGCACGGCTAGGCTTGGGAGGGAGCCAAAATTCCCCCGTTAGCTCGGGTCCGTGGTTTCGCTACACACCAAACGCCTACTTGCGCAGGCGCCCCTGCGGGGTATACATGTTTGTTTTTAAGCAAAATGCACCTGACTACAAGGATTTCTTGTTCTGCCAGTAGATTGACACCATCATTGCCGTGTGACGCTAGCGGTCTTTCTTTGTCTACTTTCAGCGTAAAGTTAAAATTAGACTTTCTTTTTCATGAGACGGAAACATGCTTGTTGTCGCTGATGTGATGACAGGGCTTCGAATTTTCATCACAAACAGAAAAAATTTTCCGAGTAGTAGACAGTCCCTCTAAGCTTCCTGTAATTTTATTTGTCATGTATGTAATGAAACACTGCAGAGTAGACATCCATAGCCATCCCTGTGGCTATTACCTGATGTAGTTCCACCAAATGATAAAATTAGCGTAACATTTACTTGTAACTTTAAAGTTTTGAAGGGGAGTGGCGAGGTATATTTTCGCCTGATTAGATTACTGGTCGCGCTCCGCCGCGGTGGTCTAGTGGCTAAGGTACACGGCTGCTGACCCGCAGGTCGCGGGTTCGAATACCGGCTGCGGCGGCTGCATTTTCGATGGAGGCGGAAATGATGTAGGCCCGTGTGCTCAGATTTGGGTGCACGTTAAAGAACCCCAGGTCGTCGAAATTCCGGAGCCCTCTACTACGAAGTCTCTCATATTGATATGGTGGTATTGGGACGTTAAACTCCGCATATCAATCAATCAAGTTACTGGTTACAGAATAAAAATGAGGGGGTTTATTATCTGTATTTGACCAGAACTTCTTCAGCTTCTTACCATGCGCACACTTGTAAAGACAGCTTCCTCTGCGTACGTCCATCATTGCAGCACCGGCCTACCATATAATCAGCTTTCAACAAAAGTGACTGCGTGTAGCAGAGCTTTCAAGTGTTCTCAAACGTACAGCCAAAGCGAGAAAACAGCTTCACCTAACCAGAATTACAGTGCAGATAGCGTTACAAAATTTGTTCATGAGGGCGCGTTGATGCTCCCGAAGCAGACCGTGCAGCCTGTGTGACCACGTGCTTTCTGCCAAGCAGGTCACGCCGATGGTAGCGCTAGCTTTCTAAGTTAGTAATCCTAGCCACTCCCACTGGGACTTTACGTTGACGTCACGTGGTTACACCTTATATGTAGGGCATACCAAACTGAGGTCTCCGCGGATTTATGCTTGCCCGTCGAAGAAACAACAAGCCATTGCAGTCATTGTAGATGGCGCTACAGCTGAAATCTCGATCTTGACTTCAGTATGATATTACACTTGCAGCAGGGCATGCTCTAAGGTCAGGATTACTGATGAAAGAATGTCGATATGCGAAAAAATTACACACACAATCTCCAGTCAAAAATTTCAATTTATCTATTTTTTATATTTCTTTTTTCGGGGAAGGTGCCACCTGTTCCAAGAACTCCCGTCTTTCGAACCTTTTTTACCGCAGTGGTTGAGCTTCGGCGGGAACATAGGAATCCAGCACGTTTCTTTCTTTTTGACCATTCCTGCAAATGCCATAAAATTGGAATAAAAATAAAACGCTGCAATTTGTGACTCACTGAAAACTGTGAAGCTAATCTTGAATTGTGTGGTGTGCAATAGTTGTATGCTGTGTATTACTTTAATATCATTAGTCAGCAAGAGTTTGCGTATACTATGTATATATTACATTATTGCCAATAAGCAGTTATTGAAAAACACTTTATCTGTGGAACAGTAAACCCACGCTTGCGGCAATAGAATAACGAGTAGCCTATCAAGGGGGACTACAGCATAAGTGCTTTGTTTATTTAGATGATATGTACAGTTATTTACAGATAAATTCGGCCAGGCTTATTAAAACAGTAACAAAGAAATATGTCAAAACCAAGAATACCCAATCTCCTACATTGGGTACCCTACTAAAATAACGTCCACCATAGGAATGGTAGATTACACCATCCATCATTTTGGTGGATTACGGTGCTATATATATATTGGTGGCACATGGTGTATGGTGGCACTAGTTGTTGGTGGAGTGCCGGCAATGCTGGAGCGCGAAACGGCGTCAGAACCACCAAGACGACCTGCCACTAAAAAGTAACAAGATTGATTGTATCTAAACCGGTGCAGAAAGCACCCGTAAAAAAGTGAGCATAAGTATTCGAACGTGTAACCTTGAGATTTCCACATGAACAAGGTAAACACTGCGCCATGCCGACTTGTAGAAACTTTGTTGTTAAATCACCGGTAAACTTGCCAACTAACCGTTCAATTTCAGTTTTCTTTGTCGCTTCCTCCAGATAGACGGAATCTGCACCTGCTACTAAAGCTGCCACGTTTATTAAACACAGATGACTTCTTTCTTGAACGATTCACACTGCGATATTGACAACAGCGCTAGGTTTTTCTTAAATTCAAACCGCAAAAAAAATAAAAGACCTAGTGGACTGATGAGCAGGTATAGTTTACCGGCGGTTACTGTCAAATTTAGTATCAGTTTCTCGCGCGTACGAAAGGACGACATCAGCTCAGGATTTATGAGGTCCCTAGGCTCATTGGATTGATACGCCTACTAGAGTGATTGAGTAATGCGAAGTGTTTCGAGCAAACGTACAGCGCACTGCTGTAGCTTTATCATTAGCAACAACTACATAGCGGCTTCACCGAAACGAATGCAGTGAGCAGGAAACATCATGTTATTATGTTGGTTCAGTAAGCGTATGAGTGAACAAGTATGTGTTTTCGCATAAAAGCCTGAAAAGTGCACACGAGTGCGACCAGCGGCTGTCGGTGACGGAAGGCGTACGTTTGCAGGAAGTGCTGGGTCCGCGTCGCATCGATTTTTGTCGCTTCTTGTGTGGACGCTGTAAACTATAAAAAATGCTTCATTTAGGTTAAATGATGCCACGAATAAGCTTTATCGTAGTTCGTACTTGTTGAAATTGTGTATATTGAAACCCAGAAGAGCCGATAACACTTGAACGAGCTCGGCTGGTACGCCTTTGGTAGAAATCATGTTGGTAGAACAAAAGGGCGGAAATCAAACTCGCTGGGACTAGTCTCCACGTATGTAGAAGGTAGACATTTAGACATTTTAGCATCTCACACACTTTGTTAACTTAAAAGTATGGTCCAAGTAATTGGGTCTGTAAGAATTGCCAGAGTTGAGTTTCTAGCGTGGCGTCATCAAATGACCGCTGTATTCTGGTCGACCGTTGAAAGGGGTCGTTGCGAAATAGAGCTCGTTTATTTCTCGACAACTGCATGGTAATGTAACAAATGTAGTGTCACTGTTCACAGCGACACCTCTAGTCTTCTAATCATCAACACAAAGCCCCACATCGCGCATGTCAAACGCAAGTGCGTGAAATGTAAACATTCACGGCCACGTTCTACGCTCTACAAAAATTGAAGCGTTGTTGACACCACAGGAAAGAAAAAAACGTGCACTCACAGCCCAAACAGAGCGCTGACAACTCTCTTTGATGATATATGGTGTTTCTTTGGCGCAAGGGCCATTTGATGGCCAAAGAGCGCCACTTCATGGGACAAAGAATGTGGACAATGATTGTGATTAGCGGCTGTATAAGGGCCATAAAATTCCTCGCAATAAGGCGGGTAAAAACATACAAGTAATAAAATCATGACCATGCCGTGAAAGGTGTGTGTGATGTGAATAGGTGACAGAAGTTAGTGATAATGAAAAACGATGGTGGACATGTATGGCATTAGCACAAGTACCTCACTCGTTCATACCCTTGCGTGCAAGGGCCGTGAGGCAAGTGCTTTCCTGTGTAGCCACTGCAGCAAAAACCTCTCTAGAGAGGTCGTGCTGCGGTATGCCCGGGTATATGATATGAAAATTATGAATCTCTTTTAAAAACGCCAATAATGATTTATGACTAAAAAGTGGTTCCCTACCAACGAACATTGCAGGGCGTAAAGGTATATGTTGTCGGTAGGGTAATGGAAAGTGTTGTCTTCTTAGAGTGTCTAACTGTTTACATTGAATTAAAACGTGAAGAACTGTTAATGCCTCACCACATTTATCACACAATGGTGGATCACCACCGGACAAAAGATGTGTGTGTGTGTCGTGTATGTGTGTCCTATCCTGAGTCTTGTTAGTGTTACCTCTGTTAGACGTGATTTTGATACTGGTGGCCAATGGCCAAGGTGTGGCTTGATAACGTGTAGTTTGTTTTCTCTGTGTGTGTATCCCACTTGCTCTGCCAGTAGTCCCTGAGGTTTTGTTTGAGAGACGGCTTAGGATCAAGGGCCGGGATTAATATAGGTGTAGGGGGAAGTGCTTTCGTGGACGGATGCAGCGAGCTGATCTGCCCTCACGTTGCCTTGGATCTCACGGTGCCCTGGCACCCAGCACACTACAACATGTTGCTTGAGAGTGCAGAGTGTGCACAAAATGGAGTAAAGTGAGACAAGGACCGGGTTTTTTGTTTTTTAAGACTGTGCAGAGCCGTTACCACACTGAGGGAGTCCGTACAAATCACTGCTTCTTGCACCTGCAATTGTTTGATGCGTCTAGCCGCCACAAGTATCGCGCAAGCTTCCGCTGTGAAGATAGTTGCGCCTGGATGTAGAGGGCCAGCATCCGAAAAGGATGGGCCGACAGCAGCGCAGGACACAGAGGAGCCAGTCTTGGAGGCATCTGCGAAGAACTCAGGACGCGTGTATTTGCGTTGAAGTCCCAGAAAGTATGTTCGGATATGGGCAACAGGCGCATGTTCCGCAACTTCTAGGAAAGACACATCGCAGTCCACAGTCTGCCACTGCCACGGTGGTGGGCATGCTACAGGAGCCACCAAACTGCGTTCAAGTGAGACCTCAGTTTCTTCGGCCAGACACTCAAGGCGAACTGAGAAGGGCTGCCTCATCGAAGGCCCGCTTTGAAACAGAATGGAGCTCGACAGATCACTAACAGTAGAGTACGAGGGGTGCCCTTTGTCTACCTTCACCTCAAGAAAATACACAAAGGAGATGTAAGCTCTCTGCAGATGAAGCGACCATTCATTTGACTCAACGTAAAGGCCCTCCACCGGGCTGGTGCGAAAAGCACCCGTAGATAGGCGAATGCCCAATTGGTGCACGGGGTCCAGCATCTTCAAAGCACTCCGAGTCGCAGACTGACAAACAACGGCCCCACAATCCAAGCGGGCGCGAATGAGGCCTCGATACAGATTCACGAGGCATTGCCTATCACTATCCAAAGTAGCACGTGACAACACTTTCACAACATTCACGGCTTTAAAACATCTTGCCCCTAAATACTTGTAGTGCGGTACGCAGGTCAACCCGCTGTCCAAGATTAAGCCTAAGAACTTATGCTCGGCTTTGATGGACAGACGTTGCCCGTTCAGTCGAATGTCAGGCTCCGAGCGCATGCCTCTCTCTCGAGAGAACAAGACACACGTGCCCCTCTGTGGGTCAAGCCGAAATCCGCTTTCATCTGCCCATTTGGAGACCCAATCCAAACCCAGCTAAACCTGCCGCTCACACATGGCCAAGTTGCATGACCCGAAGCCAAGTTGAACGCCGTCGACCTATGTACAACAGAACATATTGCGGGGAACGGACAAGAGCAAAGAATTCATTTCGATAATAAAAAGTGTGCAACCAAGCACACCACCCTGTGGCACACCCGTTTCCCGGACAAATGTTTGGGAGAGCACACTGCCGAGACGGACACGGAATGTCCGGTTTGACAGGCAACTTTCGATTATATGAAACATTCCTCCGCGCACACCAAGGTGGGACAAGTCTCTTAGAATTCCGAAACGCCATGTTGTATCATAAGCCTTTTCGACATCGAGGAACACAGAGAGAAAATACTGTTTATGGACGAAGGCGTCTCTGATCTGTGCCTCGATACGAACAAGGTGGTCCGCGGTGGATCTACCCTCTCGAAACCTGCACTGAAATGGGTCGAGCAAACTGTTTGTTTCAAGGATATGTACAAGTCGGCAGTTTATCATTTTTTCGAATACTTTGCACAAGCAGCCTGTAAGTGCAATAGGCCTATAACCCGAAGCTAAAGAAGGGTCCTTGCCCTCCTTCAAAATGGGAACAATAACAGCCTCCTTCCAGGAGGCAGGGATAGTGCCAGAAAACGAGATAGCATTGTACAAGTAAGGTTTTTTGTGTTTCGGCTGGTAGGTTTTAACATTTTAACATTTCATACACCACACGATCAGAACCTGGGGCAGAAGTACTGCAAAAACGTAGAGATGTTCGGAGCTCAGCCAGACTGAAAGCTTGGTTATATGCCTCGTATCTAGTGGATTCGTGTTCTAGTTTCTGCTTTTCTAGTGTTATTCTGTATTTTTGGAAAGTGTCAGTATAGTGAGACGAGCTGGATACCCGTTCAAAATGTGCCCCGAGGAAGCTTGCCTGATCTTTCAAGGTATCACCTTGAGTGTTTACGATTGGAAGTGTGTGTACTTGTTTCCCTGCTATCCTACCGACCATGTTCCAGACTTTAGCCTCCTGTGTGTACGAATTGATC